CAATCCCTTTAACTCGCCGGATCTTCCCTTGACCCGCTGCATCTCCACTTTTAATCTGAGTCACCCATTCCTCTTAGGTATAACAGCCCATATCCTTCCCCACAACCATATAAAACTGTAATATTTTCCAAAACCATAACCCTAAAACTCTTCCCCCTAGCCGCACCCCTTTTCTTAACCAAACGTTTCTGCCCACCGTTTTCCCGCCTCCACTCGCCAAAATTGGACGTGTGGACTCACCCGAGCTCTCTTTGGTCTCCCTTTCTTTGCCACGTATCCATAACAAACTTCTCTCTGTGATTTGTATTTATGATATTAAGTTATTTTTTCTAGATTCGAGTCATTCATAGTTGAATTTTTGCGGGAAAGGCTTATTAGAGGATTGATTTGGCTTGTTTGAGGTAAGTATATTGCTTAATTTTGTGTAGGGGAACTACCCCTAGGACTTAAATTTATTTATGTTATTTGGATTATATGAAAGACGTGTACACGAGGTGATGAGTGTGTATACGGGCTTATATGTGGTACTTTGACCGGTTTAGACTCTTAGACTCTTTCATATATTTATTTAGAAATTTTAATATCATATTATAACTTTCATTGTTAAATTGCTCTTACTTGCTTTACTTGATATTGTTATCACATGCTCTATCTCTTATTGTCAAATATGCTCGTATATGCCTTAATTGCCTTTGTTATCTCTCTTACTGCCATGTTACCTCCGTTATTATCAAGTTATTCTTAGTTGGAATTGTTATTACAAGTTTTCATTTCGTGGAAATACCTTCATTTTGAGATATTGAAGCTGAAGTTATGGAAGCTATTATTACATTGAGGTTGGAGTTGTTGATTATTGAGATATCTTTCCTTGTTGAGTAATTCCCACTCATTTTATTATTATTGAGATTCTTGTTCATATTGTGGTTGAGCCGTGGATTATATGTTGTGGTAACTTTGATTTTGTTGATTTTGGCAAGTTGTGTCATATGGACACTTATGGTATGAGTAGTTATTATGTTGTGACATTGATGTGCATGCGGCGGTATAATGATAGGGGGTTAATGTGCATGTGGCGACATAAGGTAAAACTTTTTGTGCATGTTGCTAGTAAAAGAATTGCTTGAAGTCACGTAACGACATAAGGGGGCTTAAGTGTGTGTAGCTATTTCGGGAAGTATTTTCAAAAAAATCTAAATGTAAGGCTCACGCGGCGGTATAAGGAAAGGTTGTGATTGTGAGTTGTGAAATGAGGTTATGTGGCATGGTACTTCGGTTGTGATTCTTGTTGTACATTCTATGTTAAAAAGGCTTTTTATTGTTGTTTCCTTCTTTATCTTACTTGTATTCGTCCGTATTTGATTACTTGTTGTTCTCAACATGTGTTCACTTCTAGTTGCTTTTACTGCCTTAATTTCTGTTGTTAGCTTACCTTATTGTATTGCTTTATTGTAATTATTTTCTCGCTTTCATTATTAGACTATACGATACATTTTTCAGTCTTCCTTATTCTAGTAGGTATTCTGACATGGCCTCATCACTACTCTACCGAGGTTAGGCTTGATACTTACTGGGTACTGTTGTGGTATACTCATACTACGTTTCTGCATATTTTATGCAGACAGGTACATCTGCTCGTGTCGGACGCTAGTTATCGTTCAATTATCTTTCTGGAGACTTCAAGGTATACCTGCTCAACGTCTGCATGCCTTAGACTCACCTTCAGTGATTACTTTTACTACTATTTATCTTCCACTCAAACAGTGTTGTATTAGAGATTCTTGAATTTTTTGTGTAGTATGACTCAGTTCTACTGATTTTGGGATCTTGTTACTGATGTTCCATTTTGGAGTTATTATAATTTTATCAAATTTCCTCAATATCTTAGTTTGTTATTTCTATTAAGCTATCAATGAATATTAGGCTTACCTAGTCATAAAGATTAGATGTCATCACGACATCCTAAGGTGGCAAGTTGGAGTTGTGACAAGTTGATTGCGGGGTGAGTCCCCATTATGTTATATTGAGATCATTCTCCTTGATTGAGATGAGTTGATAGCTAGCAAGGATATGTCAAATCACACGAGATTGTGGTAAGATGGCCTAGCTGATAGGGCAGAGATCGGACGCCATGTCGCGCACATGGTAGTGTTATGTTTCTATGTCCGCCTGCATATATTGGGGTAAAACCGCTTTGCCGATCGGGTAGGGATCGGACTCTGTGCCATGTGTATGGTGGCGTGTTGGTGTTAAGGTTCGCCCAACTAAAAATGAAAATGTTTACTTGAAGTCCAATCTTGTTTTAACTTGGCATTAAAATATAATTGATTTACTTATTGTTTTCCATGTTTCTCATCCTTTTAATCCTTGCATTCCATTTCATGAGAGGGTATTTAGCTTTACATACTAGTACTATTCTATGTACTAACGTTCCTTTTGCTAGGGGCGCTGCATCTTTAATGGATGCAGGCGGTTCCTCAGCAAGTGGCAGTGATCGTTGATAGCATCATACCCTCTTCTCAGCGGATTTTGGTGAGCCTCAATTCCTATCGGGGCCTTGTATCTTTGATCCTTGTACATTGTACTTTGAGGTATAGCCAGGGCCTTCTCACCGGCACTTTTATACTACTCTTTTGTTCCATTCAAAGACTCTGTAGGCATAGTGCAGATGGTGTACTACTCTTTTGTTCCATTCAAAGACTTTGTAGGCATAATGTGGATTGTGTTTTGATTTGGGAAATAGACTATAACTATTGTAATTATAGGATGTTCCACTTTCAAATGTGAACTTGTATTCTTTTGAAAAATTGTCAATGAAACTCCTTTTAAGTAATAAAAAAAATGTTGTACACTTTATTCTTCACACGTCTATCTTTTTTTACTGACTCTTAAATTATTCATGGGTAAGGTTGGGCAGAAGGTAACAAGTAGGCTTGCTTGACGGGGATGTCTCGATTGAGCGTCGGTCGCGCTCCCAAGGTCGGGGCGTCACAATATTCTGCCAATTAGTCAACAAATTCTATCGATCCACCATAATTTATGACAAGAAAATTTTATCCATCAACTTGACATATGGGAAGTTGTTATGATTTTGTTACCTATTTTTGACACAAATTTATGTTTGTAATCCTCTTTTTGGCAAACAACGTCAAAATTTAAAGGCACTGGATGATTCTATATGTGCAAAGTGCAAAGTATCCTTCTCTTTTTCTTCACCCCCTATACTTGTGAGTCAAATTTGGATTGAATGCTTTACTACCGGGCTAGGTTACTTGCACATGTTCAGCCTATTTAGAGCTACTGTTACTATGAATATATAAAACTTCAAAAAATATTCCCATAGGCGAAAAGGGAAAGTGCAGATATACATGATTTTTAGGCTATCATTGAAGTTATCCCCGTATTGCATAAAAATATATAAATTTACTTACTTTGGAATACACTTCAGACATGCACGTCTGAAGTTTTAAAAAAGGTATATGAAGTTGTTGAAGTGCAAACTTCAGACAAACTACGTCTAAAGTTCTCTTATCATAGTGTGAACTTTGAATAAATTAGTCTGAGATTATAAATTTTTGCGTGGGCCCATCTCAATAAACTTCAGAAAAATTAATTCTAATATTAGCCCGTATAAGTGAAAAATTCAAACAAATCGGGTCTGAAGGCCTGAAGTTTTTCCATCTTAATGGGAACTTCGGACAAATTAGTTCGAAGTTTTGCTCAACCGCAATTTTTTCTGAAGTTGCAAACATTGTAATACTCATGAACTGATCAAAGCAACAGATATGAAAGAAGAAGAGGAAAACAATAATGAAGAATCAGAAGCAAGTATTGGCGATGTAGAAGAAGAAGAAGAAGAAGTTGTTAATTAGGAAATTGTACAACCATATTTGTTTGAGGCATGCCTTATCAAGAGGCCTGGTTCACCATTGTTAAATTTGAGGGTACCAAGAATTTCTGCAGATATGAAGAAACATGTAACATATATTTAACTAAAACTATTGCCACTATACCAAAGAACAAGAAGAAGAAATAAGAAAGAAGAGGAAGAGGAGGCGGCATTTGAAGTTTGCTCAAATTTGATACAAATTAAATTTTTTTACAAAAGTGGAATTAGATTAAACTAGAGAATTTATTCGCGCTTCGCGCGGTAACAAAAGGCATATTAATAAAATAAAATTTTAATTAAATCTATTGACATAACATAGAAAAATATTTTCATGCATATGTAACAAAAATTAATTCTATATAAATGAAGAAAAAATGACTACTTTCTTGGCACCTTCGCACATGCTTACACATTTAAAGTTATTGATATACATTTCACTTTTAAAAATAAAATAAGGATATATTAGCTGAATATTCTTTAAAATAATTCATTCTTGTACCTTTATTAAAAGTATCTACTATAGGAAAGAATTCAACACAACTTTTAGTTTCCTGTACCGATTTAGTTTTAGCATTTTTTACATCATTTCTTCACCACAGTAATATTAAGTAATGGGACATGCAATTTCAGGCTTTTTAAATAAATTAAGCAAACAAACTCATTTAAGACTTAGTAATTTTCTTATTTTCTTTTCCTTTGTTGTTTCTCCCAGCTTTGGATTTTCCCTTTTGCCCTTACAGATATGTTCAATTGTTCTCTTCACAATTTTTGTCCATGTTCCTACATATTTCCTTCTCTTCTTCATCATTTGATCATCGAGTTTCTTCAATTGAATTCCTCCTCTATTTTCTTCTGCCACCCTTCCTATTAACTAAAATATGGAGGCTTTGAAGTAGTTTGGCAGATTAACTTTTGTGGATGGGGCCGAAGAAACTAAGGCACTTAGGCGTGGGAATATTTTACACTGAGGTCAAATGACTAAACAATCCAAAATAAGGTCTTTGATTTACCATTGGACCCCGATTAAGGTACACGTGTCAAAGAGTTACTGGTCTAGACGAAATATAGTTCTTATCATTATCAGATTGTGGGAGGAAGAAGAGGACCTATTATGAATAAAAGTATCTGCTTCTCCTCGTCTTCTTTCTCTGATTCTCTCCATTGTCAATAGCTTCTCATCCTTTCTTCTCTATCCTTTGTATTTCAGTTTAGTATCTCTAATTTCTGTAATAGTTTTGAGTTGAGTTGTAATTTCTTGTCACTGTTGAAGTAATAGAAGTGTTGAAAAACTGGTTTGTTCCATTGGTGCTTTCATCGATCGTACTCCAATGGACGAGGTGATACTAGATCGTTTCAGCAGCGGCGACGCAACGGGATGGATTTATCGAGCGGAGCGGTACTTCCAGATCCTTGGCTTCTCCGAGGAGTATTGGCTACCTCTTCCTTATTTCTACCTTGAAGGCTCTGCCCTCGTTTGGTTCGATCGGCTGTATCGAAACAAGCAATTCTTGGATTGGAACCATTTCAAGGGGAAGTTGAAGTTGCATTTTCGAGCACAGACCTTCAAAAGTCCGGTACGTATGGAAGAGACCCAGTGTGTCCCGTTCCTTCTATGAGCATTGTTCCCATCTCAATTGCAGTTGCATCTGATTTGGATACTGGACATTCTGAGGCGGACCAAATGTTCGATAAAAATCCGCAAGGAGAACTGCCACTCTCACAAACTGACTTGTCTAGCGATGCCAAAGAATTATTAAATGAATGCATTCATCATGGCGAGGATGGTGAATTTAAAGTGTCGGCAACGTCAATCCTTGAAGAATCATTTTTCAACACAAGGAACGATCCTAAGGCCGATGATGCGTACTCGAATGCCCACTTCATTGCCCCACCGATAGTGGTTAATTTAGTAGCTGATAAATCAGCGGGGCTCCCTTTCCCGGTTACTCAGATGCTTGGAGGAAATACTAAAAGCATTGAAATTGATTTTTTGGATACTCTACAACCCAAGGAATCCGCAGACAAGGACGGTGAATGGCTCAGGAATATTGCGGACATAGTGTTTGATAAAAGTCTCGAGCTAAAAGCGACCAAACTGCAATGTCAATTGGCAAATGTGGCGCCTCTTGAGACCGCAAAATATGTTTCCACCGAGATTTTATCTGCTCACTTTGATGAACCAACATGGAATGAGGGAATGACTTCACTGTTCCTCCATACATCAGTAGCTCATGAAGACGACAAGATTGTCGAGTTTCTCCCTTACATATTCAAACAACCCTCTTTAACCTTGGTGTTAGATACTTTTAGGGATCTCGCAATGAACTTGAAATATGTCTTACACACTTGCAATTGCTTTGACACTGGGCAGCATGCTTCAAATGAAGTTGTTTCAACGTTATTGACTACAAAACGACGAAAGGATTGTCACTTATATTCAGCACATCGCAAGGGTACAAGGGATATTGGGCTACCAATTTGTGGTTATGTGGACAGTTGTTTCGCTACCGGGCAGGTTTTATGGGCTTGCTTTAATATGATAGAGTTGTATGTGTCTTCATTACTGAGACAAGTCCAGCTTATTGGTTACCCTCATGTCTTTCAAGTTCTTGATATTGCAGTTGTGTCAAGCAGATGCAAACCGAGTGAATGGCGTGCTGATCCCGTAAATTCTTTACAAATACAGCACTTCCGTGTAAAGTGTAATGGTTGTAAAGGATTTAGACCATCACGCCTTTTGCTATTGCTTCTAGCAAGCGACGAAATGGTTGATTCAACTCCTGCTCACAGTGAGAGGCATGACTTCATTGATCCGGGTGCTAATTTCTTTATAGTAACCAGCCGCGCAAATGCGGATCTGTATGTGTGGGATCTTGGAATAAATTCCGCGTCCTTGGCTCTAACAGGGTGTATAGAGAATGTGGCGGCCCTGATATTTATGGGATGTACAGGCAAGTTTTGCTTCATTACATTTTCTAACTCTAAGACTGGAGTATGGGATCCCGGACAACCATGGTTTGTGAATTACTACAATTCACAATCCAATTTTGCACTGTCAGTTAGTAGTTTACCAAAGTTAACTCATTTTAATATTATTGATTGGACTTGTATGAGGTCTCAAGACCCTTCGGACATTGCTTTAAATGGCAGTTATTCTTCTGATGACACAAATAATAGTTTTCTTCCTTGTTCACTTAAGATACCCTTATTCCTTCGTGTAGCTAATTTCTCTGGAGAATTACTTTTGGCCAAGGGTGATACTACGTTGTTAAGAAACATCATCTACCAAAGTACACAAGTTGCTATACTTGGGGACATACTTGAACTTGGTCCAACAGAATTCACGTTCAATGAGTTGATGTTACAGTTTTGCTGTGATGCCCGTTTTAATGTAACTGCACCTATCGAACGAACCGAGAATATAAATTGTGCCGAAGAGATAAAACTGCTATGCTTCAATGATGCTCACTGCCCGGAATCGAAGTTGCCAAGGAGAGTATGTAAAACAATGTCAGATCCTCTAGCTTATCATTTTCGCCAAATTTTTGCAAAGATTGAATATCTGAACATCATTAGATTCTGTGCTCCTATTATTAAAGATCGACATCATTTTCTATCAATAATGTTTATTAGTCATTTGTGATATTAAAAAAAAATATTGCTGCAACTGCAGGGAGTTTGTTCAAGCTGAAGGCATAGATATTGAAGGGCATAAATATGACAACCACTAGATAGAAAGTCATGGCCAATTAGAACTTCTCCTTAAATTAATCCACATAAGCAATACAGAAGAAATTCAAAGGTCCATTTGGGAGAAGAAATGGTTAATATTGTATGCAACCAGATGAACTTGTATATGTGAATATTTTTAAGAGAAATTTTCATAAAGCACTATCTTTTAGTAGTAATTAGTTATCTATAGATATCATTTGCTATATTACGGAATATAGATACATTTTCTGTGGTTATAAGATGTATTTGATGTATTTAAGCTATTGTATTCATGAATACAGTAGCAAAAATAGGCATGAATCAGGGAAGTCCAGCTAATTAGTTGTTGTATTCGACTGTATTCATAGAGTGAAACATGGGATTACAGCTGGACAGATTATTGTATTGGACTGTATTCGACTGTATTCATGGCGTGAAATAGGGGATTACACTGTTTTTATAATGGAAAGTGAATCAATTAATATAATAGACTCCCAATATAACTCAACAAACTCAATTATAACACACAAATTTTGTATTTTTCAGTTATAAAAAAGATTCTCAACCACAAAATGCAATGAAATAGATAGAATACAGAGGGATACATTGAAATACAATGAGAAAAAAAGACACTGAATACAATGAAATACATGGAATACAACGAGATACATTGAATTATAATGAAAAAAAAAAGATAGTGAATACAGTGAAATACATAGAAATACAGCGAGATACATTGAAATGATCTTAAAAAAAAGGTAACAAAATCTTCAAATTGCTCAACCCCAAACTTCAAACGACCTATTTTAGTCGACAATTTTCCGACGACCCATCGGATTCCGACCATGATTCCATAAGCAATTTGAATGTATCTCGCTGTATTTGAAGATTCTATACACTCTGTTTGACTTTGATAAGGACATCGTCGTATTTGCTGAAACTACCACCACAGACGAAGGTCCCAGAAGAATCCAAAACATAGAAAAAGTCGAAACCTATTATTCTTGTCTTGATTCAAGAATCCAACAAAAATCAAAGATGTAACCCACCAAAATTCTCAAAGGCACAGGCTTCAAATTTCTAAAACCAAATTGCAATAAAATCTTAGGGAACTTGCTGTGAATAAAATCACACCCATATGATGTGACTATCAAAATCAAAGCTTAAAGAAGAGAGATTTTAGGATCAGAAACTTTAGACAAAGAGGTTTCTGAACTGGGTTTCTCTCAACCGGATGCGAGGAGCCGGAGCAATTTCTGAAGTGGGCTTTGAACAAATCCGGTGGGAGGAGGAGGAGATCGGAAATTTTAATGGGACGGGGGAAGAGAATGTGATGTATCAAAGTAGAGAGAGAAAGAAAATAGTGTAACTGATTAATGTATTTAGTGGCTTAAGGCTAGGAGGTAACCAAAATTAAATATTTTGCTATAAACCTTAAAAGCTATCTATAGAATATAATTTTTTTAAATGGTATTTATTTAAAATGAATAAGGTGTTAACCTTTGCTATATGAGGTAAAAATTCCTATTTTTAATGTATTTGTCGTGATGGTCAATTTGATACCCGTTTGATGTATTTTTTTTGTGGCAGTATGTAAATTCAAACGAAGACTTGAATAGATGATTCTTTTGTGTTTATTATGATGAATTTACTTGATACTTATTTAGCAGTATTAAATTACCTTTAGCATAGTATGCATTCCAAATTTGGATGATATATACTCAGAAAGGGGAATATTAAGATGATCAATTTACTTGAAAATATGTGGATTTAAACAGATGATATTTTCCATTACTTTTTTTTTTATGAGTGTTTTTGTTATGATGGTGATTTACGTGATTTTTTCCCCTAACATTTATAGAAACTGCATTTGGGGCACCTTATAAACCCTAGAAGTTTGTTTTACTGTGTCTTATTGTCTCAAATTTATGAGGGATTAGGCATTGAAATCAGTAAATGAGATAGTAGAAAGTTATCCTTAATCAAACTTTCTCCGATTTTATCAATACCAAAGCAAATATTGTCTTGCTTTATCAGCCTCTAGAAGACCTCTGCCAAGATACAACAATAGTAATGACTGAAAAGGAACATATCATGGTTGTATTACAGAGATTTTTAAAAAAGATTTCACGTAATAATTTGAACAAGTTATTATGTTAATAAGATTCAATTATCTTTTTGATTTCTGTTAATAACCGCGCAAAGCGCGGACCGTTACACTAGTTTAATAATAAATAAAAAGAATGTCATTTAAGTAAATAAAGGTATGTGAGTCACCCGAAAAGGTTGAGGTTCTTTAGTTTTTTTCTGACAATGATGAATGATTGATGATCCTTTGAATATTCGGACTCTCCTTGGATCGTGAGAGAAAAGTTAGACCATAATCTCAAGAAAAAGGTATATTTTGTATGTATATAATAAAGCAAGGATCTCAGTGAATGTCAATATGTTCTCTTATAAGTGAGTGTTTTATGTCCCCTATAACTATGTCTCTTTCTATTTATAAGGGAACATATGCCAAAAAATCCTAATAGTACAGATCCAGAAAATATAATATTTCCTTTAAAGTCTTGTACTAAAACTAGCCGTTATTATTCTGTCTAAGACAAGTGCTCGTCCTCGACCTTATCTATGTTGACTCCTCGACCCCGCCCTTTTATCTCTTGTGAGATCACTATGACCTTTAACATGCCTTTTGTCGAATTCATTTTGTGACACGTGGCAGCCCTTGAGGGCTCTCTTAGTGATGATATGGTCTGAACTTAAACTAAGATAATTTTTGGCCAATACAACAGCATTTTCATTAGTCTGTCTGTCGTAAAAGTGAAAGAAGTACAAGCAGGAAATTTGCTCAATCACTTAAGATCGAGAAACCTGATTTCATGGCTTACAAACGCATTAAATACAGCCTTTAGGAAGTAACGCAAAGAAACTGACGATATCTCTTCAGATTACTGTGGCTTGCTTAATTAATTAGCTGGAGATTGCATAGTGGGTAATATGAATAACATCTTCAGGCCTTGATGGTGGATGACTTTTGTTTCTCATTCTCAAAGCTTGGTAATCTTTGTAGTAAAATCCCTTGTATTTTGGTGGCTCTCCAATCTCTTCAGTGAATTGTGGCAATGGTTCAATCCACTTGTCTCCTTGGATATTATAGAAGAAAGCAAAGGAATATCGGCTTCTGCCTGTTTTTCTCACAACTCTATGAGCTGCACTCTTAAATTTGTTGTTGCTCAGCACCTCCAATAAGTATTTAAGTTATACACAAAAGATCAGTCAGACTAGTTAACAATTTATACTATCTAGAAAATGGAAGTTTAGGTGGTCCAAGTTTTAAACTTTACCTGAATAACATCACTTATATTGACTATAATTCTGCCTGCAGCTGGAATTACCGGAATCCATTCTCCATTTTTTCGAACTTGTAGTCCACCAACTTCATCCTGGATGACGAATGTGATACAATTTCCATCTTCATGTTCACTTATGCCATTGTTTTCTGTGTTAGTTGCTGGATAGTAACGGAAAGCTACCATGAAATCCCAGCTTCTGTCATGATTATATTCCTTGAGAAAATTTAGAGGGAGGCCAAGGCAGTCATTCAAGATGCTCTCCAAAAGTTCACCAACTTTCCCGAAATGGGTAAACATCTCTTCTAGTACTTCCCTAAAAGTTCACCATGAAAATAGACATTACCCGCCAAATCAAACACGAGTTAATTTTATGGATGGTAATTGAACTTTTGTGTTTGTTACCCAAAAGTTACTTTTTTTTGTTACGTAAAAATTATTTAACTTTGTGTTCATTACTCAAAAGCCATTTTTCTTTCTTTTGTTACACAAAAATTATTTTATTTTGCTCTAGTTATCCCAAAAGTCACATTTGCCACATTTTATAATATTTTTACTTGAAAAGTCTATTATACCCTTGATATTATATAAATCGTCATATTTATGTATACCTTCTATATTATATACTTTATAATATATTTTACCTAGGTATTTTATTTATAACTAAAATAACTTAATACTATTATTTTATTTATTATTTTTATAATATATTCGTATATTTAATTTTTCCTTAATTAATTTTCAAGATATATTGGTAGCGTTATTAAATTTGACAGTAACTTTACTATGAACAAATCTCACGTCAACGTTCTTAACCGCTCCTAATGAAATATTTTTAATAAGAATTATAAAATCAAAGCTCACAGATTTATCAATCAAACCATATTCGTTAATCCAATAAATAAAATACCAACATTCAGTAAACTCACACATCAAATTAACAGTTTCAAATAAATAATATCAACAGATAAAGCTTAAAATTTAATATTAAACTCAAATATATTTTAAAATAAATTAAAAATTTGACTGATTATAAGAAACTATCATTTGTTAAACAAATCTGTTTTTGTTATTTCAAATAAATATTTTTTTATCGTTTTCATATTTGAAAATATATTCATGCTTGGATATGATTAAACAAATTCAGTATCACGGGAAAATTCAACGTACTAATATATTATAAAAATAATAAATAAAATAATATATTTTAATTATAAGTAAAATTCCTTGGCAAAAATATATTATAAAATGTATAATCTAGAATGTATTATATAAATTGGAGGATTTATAATGTCAAGGGCATAACAAACTTTTCAGATGAGTTTTATAAAATTTTGTCAAAGTTTTATAAAATAATAATAAATTAATTTTAGTTATAAATAAAATACCTAGGTAAAAGAATATTATATAGTATACAATATAGAAGTTATTGCATATATCTGATAATTTATATAATAACAAGGGCATAATAGACTTGTCAAATTAAAAATATTATAAAATCTGACAAATGTGACTTTTGTGATAACTAGAGCAAAGTAAAATAATATTTGTGCAAAAAAAAAAAACAATAGTGACTTTTGAGTAATGAACACAAAATTAAATGATTTTGACGTAACAAAAAAAGTGATTTTTGGATAACAAACACAAAAGTTCAATGACAATCCATAAAATTAACTCAATCAAACACATAAGTGTAATTAGTTGTTGTGCTTGTCTACTTTTACATCTGATCAAGAGAGCTTCAATTGCAATTAATTGCACTAATTGTTTCCTTTTACATTCAATTCAATACACATCAAGCTAAGAAAGATCAAATATAAACGTGCATACTTGAAATCACATGGATTGCTTGGCAACACATTGAAGCTGGAACTAGGAGAAAACATGAGCAAATATTCATTCTTATCAGCTGAGTTTTCAGGTTGCTTGCTGTAACCAGCTGGGAGAGGTGAACTTAATCCAGGACTTGATTTTTGCTTCTCCTCATCTGGGTATGCAAAGAATGTCTTTGATAGGCTCAGAGCGTGATTCATCAGATCAAGAGGCACCCCATGGTTCACTATTTGGAAAAACCCATAGTTGGAGCAGGCTTTGGTTATACTGTTCATAACATTTACCTTGCCAATTTCATCACCGTCTGTAAAGAAAGGGGAGAGATCTATTGTTGGAATTGCAACATTTTCAGCCATTTAATTTTATTGTGAATTGTTTTCTTTCAGTCCGCCGCAGCAGATTGCGTTAGGATAAATAGAGGCCGCCTTACTTTTGCTGTCCAGATCAATAATTCAAATAGCAGAAAAAAAATTCGTCCTGGACGGCAATAGATTACTTTATTCAATTTTGTGCAAATAAATTAAAATGTGTTAGTAGGAGAGAACTACAGCAAACATATTCATTTTTCTCGTAGTTATGTGATTGGTTATTGGGAGGAAATCCAATTATTGCTATTACAGCTATATATAAGTCAAGAAAAATGACGTTGGAGCATCATCTTCAATTTAGCAGAGCATGAGTCAGCTAGGATCAACTTATAAGACATGAGCGCTTGTCGTTTTCCTTACCCTTTCAAATTTTAAAAGGCATAGGCCAAAGAAAGATACTTCCTCTTTTCCAATTTATTTCAAACAGTTTGGCTGGGAACACAAAAAAATTAAGAAAATAGACCATATGATTTTTAAAAGTCCGGAACTAAAGTAATACGGAAATTCGGAAAAAACAATCATATTAATATGGGAAAAAAGAAAACAATAGTACATATATAGCACATGCATACCAATAAAAGCGTGTTAGCATATATGATATATATAAAATAAAATAAAAAATAAAAATATAAAAATACCAGAGCTGAAAATTGCTCTCCACTACACTGTCTTCTTCATCTCATTGCTTCCTATCTTCCAAGATCCTCTTCTTTTTCACTAAATACTCTACGCCATGAATCTGTCAAACCCAAACCCAGATTCCACGCACTCTTCAGACCCCCCAGATTCACCAGACATGCAAGTAGATCTGCCAACTCACACTCCACAAAAATCCTCCTTTCCCCAAACCTTGCTCACCAATTTACCACATTATTATCCCCTCACATTCAACCCACCCCACTTGATCTCGACTTGATCGATGAATTCGACAATCCAGATAAATCAGATGATTTCATCCCACTCTCTGCGGATGAAAAGGCTAGACTATATTCCCCTCGGAAATTCTCCGTTATCATCAAGCTATTTGGAAAGGCCATTGGGCATCAGTTGCTAAAAGCTAAATTACAATCCCTGTGGAAACCAACCAAACCATTGCATCTGATTGATCTAGGCTCTGCTTTTTTTTCTCATTAAATTCACACAGGAAAATAACATGATGCATACTTTACCCGATGGACCATGGTTTATCCTGGGCCACTTTTTATCTGTGTGTCGATGGGAGCTTAAATTTGTCGCATCAACTGCTCAACTTACTTACTCTGCTATATGGGCCCGACTTCCAGAATTGTCAACTGAATATTATGATCTAACAATTCTACAGAAAATTGGCCACAAATTGGGTCAATTATTAAAAATAGATACTTGCACCTCCTCTGCTATCAGAGGATGATATGCCCGAATTTGTATTGAAATCCCACTCGAAAAGCCTTTGAAAACCCATGTTTATATAGACAGCCACAAACAAGTTATTCTCTATGAGGGATTAAATATACTCTGCATTAAATGTGGGTGTTTTGGCCACAATGCACGGGTCTGTCCCCACCACGTTCCCAGTATTACACTAGATACTCCTACTGCCTCTTCCACCTCCCATACCATAAATTCTCCGCCCAAATCCACCCAACCACCCACAACAGATTCTCCATGGAAAACAGTGAAATTCCCTTAGAGAACACAAAAACACACCACAGTCATAGATAAAACATTGGTAGCTGCTCAACAATTCTCACACTCCTCCAAGAAACAGCAAGCTTCAGGAGAAAGTGTCGCCCACTCCAATATCATGGAGGCAACCATGTGTAGCCCAGGTAAGTCCTCTAACCCTCGCCCATTAACCACCGCCTCTTCTAATCCCCGTTTCTTTAATTCTAATACCCTCTCTATACTCCATATTAATGAGGTATTAACAGAAACTAATTACCTCCATAATTTATCTATTAATACTCCTACCCCTCTGCAAAATACCTCTTGTAATTTAATTATAAATACTCCTAAGGCTACTACAAACATTACCCATATCCATCAAACCCAAAACCTTATAGGGTTGGCCCAATCTCAAACCCCACCTAACCCAATAACTAATTTGGCCCCTTCCAGCACTAACCGACCAAACCCATCCTTTATTTCCCACATCCCACATCAAACTATTGAAACACCTCCACATGACAACTATTGTTCCAACCAACCTCCATTAAACACGTCTCTCTCTGTAAATCCTAATTATTTCACACCAGCAGTGAAATCTAAAATTACTAACTCCTCTCTAGTTAATTCCATGCACTCGTCAACTTGCCCCCCTCCTTTTTCAATTCAAAAACACATCATTTCCCCTGCTGACTCATCCTACACACCCCCTGCTACTCACACCTACATGGCCGATACACACAGCCAATTACCACATATCCCTTCAACAGATAACCATAATATCACTCCTAATCATTCCCAGCATAATCACATTTCTCAAGCACCGTCCACCAGTATCCTTACTATAAACACACAACCTGAACTACAATCCCTTAATACCTCTCAGAATACTTTAAACCATATACTATCAAAAATTCTCACCCATGGACAATCTCTCAACCACTTACCCCCCATTGTATGTTACCCAAGTGAACCCAGGCCTTCCACCACAGTCATGGCTGGAACAAGGTCTCTAAGGTCAAGCTCTCCTCTTTTTTCTCTCAATCAACGATCAAGAGGTAATAATAGTCCTACAAAATCCATCCTACCTAGCACAGATAGTTTCGGAGGGAATGCATCTGGGGATGGATGCATTTGGACGCTCCCACTAGGCAATGAATTCTCCACCACCTCATACCCTTCTTCCGCTGCTGGAAATCCCTTTCTACCACCTTCCACTCTTAGGACAAATATTCACACCCTGGACCCCTTATCAGAATATGACCATTCTAGTCGAATTCTTGCCTCCAACACCCAACCTCACGACCCCTCTATTATTCCCTCTCCAGCGACTCCTCCTGCACCATTACCACTAGAACTAGACGTCGCAGCATAACAACAAGACTTAGCAGCAACTCTAGTGGAACTGAGAGAAACGAGAACCTCCCAAGCAACACTAGACACTCTTCAAAGCTTTGTTCTAAAGGAGCCATATGTAAAAAAATATTCGTCTCAAATGTCCCACAAACATGATCAAATGTTCCCTCACCATCCGCCCCACTCTCAATCCGGCCATAGGGAAATACTCGATAGTTCTTATACCCACTCTCCTGCCAGTGACAACCCACCTGCAAAGCTAGCCAATACCTCTCTTTCAGTATGCAATCAACCAAGCTCCCCCTGAATCTTCAGAGGACCCTACCCCAACACAAGCAAAGATGAATTTTATGCTTTGGAATTGTTGAGAAGCAAATAACAATGATTTTCGTCGTAATTTTCACTCATTATTGGACTATCATAGCCCGACTTTAGTTGTATTGTTTGAAACTCACATGCATGATCATACTTGTCGCGCCCCCTTTTTCCTCTGCGAAATCGGGTTCGTGACATTTTGGTATGGGACAACTCTTTCCTTTTGGAAAGGGGTTTGCATTTTTGGAGAGTCTCCACCTAACGATTTTAAGGTGTATTAGGGCACCTATAGGGTTCATTTATGACTACATTTGGTAACTAGAGATAGAGTAAGGGCTTGAAATTATCCTAAGGGGAAGGTGTTAGGCACCCCTCAGGATCCACTAGTGTGGTTCCCGGCCAGACAGTTTTTGTGACTTTGTGCAATTAGCAAATAAACAAGCATGGCTCAAATAGTAGGGGATTTAAGTTTAAGCACACAAGTGTTTGAAAACAATTAGTGAAAGGTAAAATTTTGAAAAGAATTATAATCTAAAGCATGCTTGCGAATGTAAAGGAGGTGTCCTAGGTTTGTTAGTAATATGGATCACATCAATGGAATACCCGGTATGACACTCTTCAAAAAGGGGCTACACGTGGTATTAACGCACCAGTCATCATATTCATATCTACCCTTTCCCGCCCTGTGAAGGTAATTAAAACGAGGGTTGGTCTCGACCCCTATTGCATATTGTTACCCGTCCCTTCCAGTCAGTCTCGGAGGAATTTAAGACTCATATCCTATAAGAGGGGGGGTTCTAGGCAGACCCTCAGGTTTAAAGGCAAAATACTAAGGCGACATACAAAACAAGTAGGACTTCAATTAAGGAGGAGCATGGAAGATAAACGAAAGGCTCAAATATATCTCCACAGGTAATGCACATAGACAACATAACTCATACACAATTAAAGTTTGAATTCAAATCATATGCATGGTATATAAGTGATAACAGCAGAACTAGATTTATTACATGACTCAGAAAAAAAGTCTGAATCAGGCTTGCCTACTGGTTTTAACAGGTTGACAGTTAAACAAAGGCAGTTCTAGTTTTATTTAAGTTATTACCTAAGGCTTGCTTAGGCGTAAAGTAATAAGCAGCAGTTATTCAGAATTATTAAAAACAGTTTGGAGATGGATTTTTACCTAAAACATGTCGTTCTAGTTGATACAAATCTGAGAATGCAGAGATTATTACCAGTTTTATTTAGAAAACATCACAATATGAGATTATTATTACTACCTTTTCATGAATTAGTAAATAACTAGGCGTTTTAAACAAAATGCAAATAGGATCCTAGAACATGATATCTAATATGCACATGCAAATGGCAGGGTTGTTGAAAACAGAATCCCTAAGGCATTATTTCTAAATGCGCACAAGAGTTGCGGAATTAGTGAATGTGACTTCTGAAAGTACAAGAGTAACAGCTTTTATACCAATGTTGTTATTGTCCTAGGAGCAGGATTTCTAAGTGATAGACATAAAACATGGATTAGTGATGGATGAGATGCTGAAGCAAGAAACATGGGTCCTAAGAGTATGATTTCTAATGCATGTGTGAATCCTAAGCATGGTTTTCTATTGCGCAATTAGGAATATAACCTTAATAACATGTTTTCTACCCTTACCAACTATAGCATGCATATTTACCCCTTTCCTTTTTACTAGCCACCCCAATACTTGTTTACAACAGGTTATTACAGACCAGCATTGAAGTAAATTACATAAGTAGAAAAAATAACAAGTTACACTATAAGAAGCCTGATTAGGACTTCCTCTCTGAGTTATGTAATCAATCACCTCAAGTGACAAGTATTCCATAGTCTTTCTCAAATCTAGGTGAGTCAGAGTTCCCTAAGGACTTCAAGAGATCCCGGGCAGTGCTCACACCCAGATTTCATAGCCAAGACAGAGTAAGTGCAGTGTAGAAAGGCCAACTATTATGTGTCCAAGTTCAGGGGGAGCTCAAGGGTCCCAAGGCAAGGCTCACACAAAAAGGGCAGAACCTAGTGGTCTAAGAGTATATGTGAGAGTGCTTGACATAGATTTAAAAGAGTTGAGTTGGAAAAAAGTTTTGAACCAGTCAAGTTTGAAGTGAGTTTGCAAAAACAACAGAACAGTTTTGAAAAGGAGAAGGGAATAGGAGCAATAATAACTTATAACAAGACAGCACACAGAATAGTATCATTCCAACATTCACAGGCAGGGAAGTAAGGGGCTTGGGGATATAGAAGGCCCAAATCAGAAGCGCATAAATATGGATAAGAAGAGAGGCATTTAGACCAGCAAGCACGAAGAACAAGTAGCAACTGATTGACCTACAAACTACTACTTCAAAGAGTTAACAAGGGAGTCATAGGGACAGGGTATGAGAGTAGTCATGCAGGGGTCTATTACACATAATCAATCATGACTTAGTCTTAATCAAGTACAAACAATGGGGGGCACATAGAGTTGAGTTTTAGAATTGAACTAGGAACATACCAGTTAAGGAAGCAAAGTGCAGAAAAGTAAAGCAAGTAGAGTTCCACAGTCCAGTGTTGGCTTTCAGCCGGCTAGACAAACAGTAGCATAATTAGTAGAGAAAGAAGAGAGAATTTGAGTGTGTATGTGTGTGTTCTGGACTAATTGTTCATGTCCTATGCTAAAGAGAGGGGAAAGTATTTATAATTTGAGAACAGGTAGGAAAATAAGGTAATAAGTACTGACTTAGCATAATTATAGAAATAATACAAATCAGAATCAATTAAAGACCTGGACTCCCTTCAATTAGGGAGTCATAGTTCAAACGGGTACAAGTTGTATCAAGTAGGGAAAAGAACTGATTTTATCATAATAGGATTAGTAAAAGCATGTAGCATGTAATAAAGACTAAGTACAGAATATTTTCAAGTAAGGAAATTATACTAACAGCATATTGTGCACATAAATAAGGTAGAGCACAATTTCAATTCTGAAAATCAGTTCAAATAATCACGGATGAGATGGAAAATCACAGGGAATCAACACTAACTAAGGAAAGTATCACAAAAAATAAAGAAGCAATTTCGAAAAATCAATACATAATTGGAAGGAAAATACACAA